CCACCAAGTGGTTTCACTTCCATGCCCTTCCAAGCATATCCTTCGGCATCAGAAACTTTAACTGCCAGCAGAAGGCGGCTGGGAATGTCAGAATCAGGCCACCCTTCAGTATACTTTCCTGCTCTCCCTTTAATAAGATGCACAGGTTGTCACACATTACACAAACCCTGCCCTGAATACTCTTTCGCAGGATTTTAATGCCGCTTCTCTCAGTATCGGAATGCAGTGATACATAAAACATTGGGGATTCTGTCTTCGTGCCTTGCAAAAACGGGAACAACAAGGCAGCCGGATGCTTGCATGAGAGCACCTCCTCGTCGGGTCTTTGGAAGAATGCACAAATTTATGCAACTTCAGAGCATTATTTAGCCAACCTCTCAAGTCCCTCCAAAACAGCAGATATCCCACACTGACAGAAGGTAAAGCCAAAAACCAGCAGGACTACACCTATTTCTACTCTCCTGACAGCCACTCCTGTATCTCTGTTTGTACACTCAGTAAGACCTTGGATCTGGCTGTTCCCTCGTTGCTTCCGGACGACACATTAAGCACCAACCTCACCTCCAGCTGCTGCTCGATGACGGAGAAGAGCCTTTCCACGCCGATGCTGACTCCTACACAGGGCACCTTTTGCCCCTTTTGACCAAATGATGCCACGAGCCCGTCGTAGCGTCCACCTCCGGCCACGCTGTCCACAGGGAGAGGCTCCTTGCAGTGGCTGTTTGGCTGGTGCAGCAGAACGGCCTCATAGATCAGCCCGCTGTAGTAATCTAGCCCACGAGCCAGACTTAAGTCCAAGGAGACCTACAGCACAGGCCCGGAACCACGTTAGTAGGGGGAAAAGGGGATCCCAAGGAGGCTCAGAGAAGCACAGAAACATTGGAAGGGACCTCAAGGGTCATCTAGTCCAATCTCTTGCCCAACACAGGAAATTCACAACTGTCTCCCCCTCCTCCAGCGACCCCTGCTCTATGCCCAGAGGAAGGCAAAATTCCTCCAGGATCCCTGGGCCAAACTGGCCTGGAGGAAAATTCCTTCCTGACTCCAAAGTGGCAACTGGCATTACCGAGGGCATTTCAGAAAGGGCCGTAAGAGCCGAGCACTGAAAGCCAGTTTGGTGTAGCGGTTAGGAGCGCAGACTCTAATCTGGGAGAACCGGGTTTGATTCTCCGCTCCTCCACATGCAGCTGCTGGTCTGACCTTCGGTCAGTCACAAGTTATTTCAGAGCTGTTCTCTCACAAGCAGTCCTCGAAATAACTCTCTCTGCCCCCCCCCCGCCTCACAGGGTGTCTGTTGTGGGGAGGGGAAGGGAAAGGAGATTGTAAACCGCTCTGAGACTCCTTTGGGTAGTGAAGGGCGGGGTATAAATCCAATCTCATCATCATCCCTTCCTGCCCACCCTCTCACAATCTGCCTAAATTCACAGAATCAGCATTGCCCTTCAGATGGCCCATCTAGCCTTCCGTAGCCACTCTACACACCTGATCTATGATGCCAAACAAGGTCAGGTACTCAAAGAGCAGCTTCATATCTTCCAGCCCTTCCATGGCCAGCTGACTCTTGGACAGCATTGGATCCTGGCACAGCTGATGAATCAGTTGCCACCCCCCTGCAGAAGAGACGTACATGCAGGGCAAGGATGGGAGAGAGAGAGACAGTGTTAGCTGCCAGGGTACGGACATCTGCCATGCACCAAGCCAGAGTGTCACAATCCCTGAACTGCAGTGTGGCTTTGGGCTCTCAGTCTGAGGGAAGTCTTTCGCCATACCTGCTACCAGAAATACTTGGGAGCCACGTGTGTCTAACAAGTCGGCTGTGCCTCTTCTGAGCTCTGTTCCTCAATATGGCACCTGCCCCATGTTTTAGGATAGTGGGCGAGGCTCTGCACTGGCGGGGCTCGCGGTTGGGAAGTGGTCCTCCCACCTTGCCACAGCCGTCACCTGGACGACAGGCAAGCTGCGAAGCTCCCCAAGAGGCAGGCCTCAGGCCAGGAAAGGAAGCTGATGAGGCTCTTTTGGGTTGACGGTAATTGTGAATGTGGCTCTCCGTAAGTAAATTCTCTGAGCTCTGTTGGAGTCACCGGGGGACTGAACAGGGGACCTTCTGCATGCAAATGGTGAAGGCTGCCCACTGAGCGACAGCCCTCCTGGCTCCACTTGTCTCAAACCAGCTGGCAGCTCTTGCTCCCTTGGTGAGCCCAATAGGCTTTGGCAGGGGTCATTTCGCAGAAAAAGAGGTGAGGGAGCTCATTAGCATAACTCATTAGCATAACTCATTTGCACTTGCCACACCCCCTGACATCACCAGAAGTGTGTCAGAAGGCAACCCCCACCGCTCAGGCTCTACTGGACTGTTTTGGATTGCTAGCTG